CACATGTAATTCCAGGGCAAAAGTGGAAAAACATCTCTGCTTTTTGACCAGAATAAATAATAAAAAATAGCGTGTGGTGTACTTCTTAATTCTGTAGCAGCTTTGCAGGTCAGTCTCCTTCCTTGTTCCAGGTTAGGCCCTTACCAACAGGCAAGAATGTTCCTAAGGAAATGTGTATATGCAGCTATTTCTGGGAGATTGTCTAAAGCCTTCAGGTTTTCCTCTTGTGTGCCGTGCTGATGGGTTGGAACTAACCTGCTGGTGTGTCCCCATGATCTACAGCTGCATGGCCCTGGGAGAACAATCTGCTGCAAGGACAAGGGACTCTGCTCTTATCTTTTTTTTTTTTTAACTGAAAATGCTTTCTCATTAATTCTAGGGCGGGAAGCAAACGGACTCAGAAAATTTTTAATTAAAAAGGGCCTTTTTTCTTTTTTTTTTTTTTTTTTTTTTTTTTTTAACTGAAAATGCTTTCTCATTAATTCTAGGGCGGGAAGCAAACGGACTCAGAAAATTTTTAATTTTTTTTTTTTTTCTCCTCCAAGACAACCTGTACCAAACTGGAGCCTAATTTTTCCCTGTCTTTCCTCTCAGTTCCTTTTAGGCCTTCCCTAACCATTGCCAACACTATATGAAAACTTCAGGAGTTTGCCTTCTCTAGGATTCCACTCCATGGAGGTTAAAACAACCTGAAGATAAGCTCCAGGATAATGCTGTGCTAGCTGGGAACACACCTCTGCTTCCTGCAGGTGTCCTGTGTCTCTGTCCTCTTTAGGAAGAGAAAGATGCATCCCGTGTCCAAACTTAAATCCACCCTTGATCATAGTATTTCTGGGCTACTGCTCTCAGTGCCTGAAGAATGTCTAGAAGACAGAGGCACCTCTCTCCTTCTGACAGATGCCTGGGGTTATTGCTTTGCATGTCCCTCATTTGCTAAACAAACCAGCCCAAAGACCAGGATTTTATTTCCCTGGTAATAAAGGGAAGAAGCTGTGGAGAGGACTGGTGAAGTGCAGTACACAGGGTGGGATTGGAGAAAGGCAAAAACAATCGGCTCTTTCTTCAGCCACAAAGATTAGTTGAGATTTTGCTTTTTGTTATCTGTTTCCTTGATTGACTGACCAGAATATTTTTGATACAAGGGAAGATGGTGGGAAAGGGGTTGTTTTCAAAGTGATCAGAACTGAGGAGGATTTGCATGTTTGGAGAGCAAGGCCAGGTGTTTTTGGAGCTGGTGACAGCCACAGCCAGATCCTGACAGGTGCTGAGCATCCTTGGGTACCTGTTGTGTGGATTCAGTAGCTCCAAGGATCAGAGAAGCCCTTTGCCCGCTCTGTGCAGCAGGCCTGCCTGTGGCTGGTGCTGTGTTCGGAGTGGAAGGTTCTTCCTCAGCCTGGTGTGCTGGGGTTTGGGTAATGCCAGATCTGCTTCCTTCCTTGGTCCTTCACCTGCATTTCCATAGCTTCAGGGGGTGCAGATGAAAGCCTGGGGAACCATGCAGAGTGCTGCTGTTTGCTCCAGAGCAGAACCAAGCTAGATCACTCCATCCTCTTCCTCAGGAGATGGCTTTCCCTGATCAGGGATTGCAGTGAGAAGGGGCTGTGGGGCTCTGCCTTGTTTTTTCCTTTGGGCTGCTGGCATCCCCAGTCCTAAAGGAAGGACAGGGCTTAGGGAAGCATGACTGAGTGGTCTGAAATTGGCATCTTCTTACCCAAGAATAAGAAACTCTAGTGCCATAGTGGAAAACTCTGCAAGTTAATTCCTTCTCCTCCTCCTCCCTTCTTAGATCACCTTCTGACTCTGGCCATACTGTCTTGCTGGTGCCTTTGCCAGCTGGCCTCCATCCACAGACTGTGTTTCTGGAGATACGCTGGGAGTGGGTCAGCGTGGGTCAGCTTTGGCCACAGACATGTTTTTCTGAGCATGGCTCTGCAGCAGCACACTGCCTAAGGCCATTCCAGTGTGTTTCTCTACTTGCTGCCCATCCATCTAAAGCAGTCCTTGCATCTCCTGGGGATGTGCTCACCAGGTTCCTCACAAATATAAGCGTAAGGCTGACACTGTCTCCTCCAGTGTAACTGCTCTTCAGTAATCTCTGGGCTCAGTAACCACAATCATGGTGAAAGCAGCTGCCTGCCCTAGTGTCCTGGGCAAATAAAAGACAGAACTGGGGTGATCTGTGCTTTGTTAGGAGGGAGAAGCAGACTGGAGAAGCACAGCCTTAGGACAGAAGATGCCAGCTGCCTGTTGAAGGTTATACCTCCTCTGTAGCATGGAAATCAAAGATAGGAATGGAAATCTAATGGATACAGTAGCCCTTGTTCAACAGGCTCAGAAGAACCAGCTGTCTGATTTGTTTTTATGATTGGTTTTACAGGCAGTCTTACCACAGAGCTGCTCAGTGTGTGCCAGCGCTTCCCTCCAGAATGGCCAAAACTGGGGAGCTTCAGATGAGTCACACACATCTGCTGTCCCCAGGACATGGTCTGTGTTGGTGTGCTTGTGTGTTCTGGGGCTGGAGGTATTTGCTTCGGATCCTGACATGCTCTTTAAATATTTCTGTTTGCAGATTTGTGGAGGACAGGGGGAATAACAAACATGGTGTGCGTTTTTGGCAGCAGCTTTAACAAGCAGAAATTAATTTACCCTGAGTATGGCTTGTACATGTGTGAGAGTGTTCATTCACACACATGTGTGTGCCTGGTGTTGCAGTCAGGACCTGGGGACCAGTTCCCCAAGCCCGGTTCTGTCACAGGTTGTACAGCTCCCCTGGAGTCCCTGCCCTGACCAGGTTCTGGTATGACCCAGGGAAGGACATCAGGGTTTTAACGGGGACTTTAATGACACCCTCTGCTGAGCACACAATCTGTGTCATCTGATGTGGCTGCAGCTGCCCAGCTGGAGACCTGACTTGCTGTCTGTGTGGGGCTCTGCACCAATCTGCCTCTGAAGATGAATGTCCCCTGATCTCAGGCTTTGAATGCTGTTCACGGCTGTTCTGTAGCCAGCCAATAGGTCCCTGCTCCCTGAATTTGTCGTCTTTCGTGTCTAGGTTTGGGAGCCATGTTCTGCATGTGAATTTCTTTCTTTATTTCCACTTGAACCATATGGGGCTTTTTTTTTTCCCTTCTTTTTTCCCCTCCATCCCCACTGTCAGCATCTCCAGAGCCAAGTATGAGCCTTTCTTGAAACTGATGTTTTCAACATGAAATACACTCTGTTAGCCCAGTTACCAAGAGGGAACAGATTTATCAGATAAATCCCAGCAGGTCTATAAGTGTTGTCACTGTCTGGAACAATGCAATAAAAATATACATTAGAATAAGTATAAATACGTATTTACAGTGTACAAGTAAAGCCAGGAGTATAGACTCTGTTTTGAGTTTCTAGAATGCATATTAATGACTAACAGCTTAGGCACAGCATAAAACAGGAGCAAATATATTTTAGGTCTTAGTCAGGAGAATGCCTTTGGATTCACAGAGGTGTAACTGAGGGCAGGACAGACCTCTTTTGTCCTGGCAATAAATGAATTTTCCACTGGGACTGTTTCTTCTTTGTCCATGATGGCAGCCTTCCTCCATAAGCATTTGGAGTGACATGGCTAGTGCCACAGCCTGTTCTCCAGGCTACTTCCCACCAGTGTCATTGTCCAAGGCCATGTGTTCAGGGATGTAGTTATGGAGTGAACTGTGTGCTGCTACAATGCCCTGCTTAACTGAAAACACTTGTCTTTTTAATGCTATAATAATACTTTGTCCTTCCTGTTAAGAACTCAAGGGACTCTACAAACCTGAGTGAATGACTCCACATCACCAGGAGGGGTGGAGAGATAAAAACCTAGTGCAGTGACTTGCCAAAGGTTATATAGTGAGAAGGTAGCAGAGCCTGGAGGCAAACTGGCTCTTGTTACAGTGCTTTGCTTCAGCCCCTAGACCTGGAAGAAGGAGGAAATACCACTGCTCTGTTTGTTTAATGTTTGTAAGGTACTTGCATGCTATGCCAGTGTCTATGGGCTTGGTCACTTCCTCCTTTAAGAGAGTGGCTGGAAAGCAGATCTCTGGTCCTTGACGCTGATATCCAAGAGCCATTCCTGACCATGCAGTGACACAGGATTGCCCAGGACAGTGCAAAGCCGGTATGTCCAGCATGCAGTGAAATGTTGTGGGACATACCAGCCTGGATTCCAAGAGCAGCCAGTCTCTCTTGCATGTTACTGAGGCATGGGGCTTATTATGTTATGCCTAGTGCTGTGGCATGGCTCTTCCTGGAGCTCCCTTGGTTGCCACTAACCCAGGGATCTTTGCAGCATGATATGTATGAGGAACACATTTAGAGACCCCTGTTATCAGCTAGGGATAGGAGCTGATTTTTCAGTATTTCCCTCCCACTCCAAGCTAAAAATATAACACAGTTAACTTGTCATTTGATCACAGTAAATGCTCTGCTGAAAGAAAATTACTTTAGGTGTCTGTTGCCAGAATTTATGACCTGGGCAAGTCTCTGCAGAAGCCCTGTCCAGGGCTTCTGAACACAGCTCATTGAATGTGATCTATTTGCATGTTCTGGTCTTATCTTCCTAACCATCAAAGCAGAACATGGTTACAGCACTAGCTTGGCACAGATTGTTGCTGCCACTAGTCCAGGAGTTCCCACCTCACTGCTGGTCAGTCTGATGAACCAAACTCTGCATGTGGTGTAAATCCAGAGTAATGGTGACCTTGGAGGAATTCCTCTGGATTTGCACTTGAGCAGGTGATGTTGGATCTGGGCTGGTACCTGTTGTAACTGAAAAGTAAGAGCTCCTGAAGATTTCTTTGTCACCTACTGGGATGTGCAAGGTCCAATGACATGACTTTGCCAGTCCCCAGGGGAGCACCCAATGCTATATGAGCTTTACGAGGTGAGCAGCCCATGCTAGATGGAGATGCTGGGGAGAATCTTCTTCCCTGGAGCATGCATTGGTAGTTGGAGCTCCAGCAAAGACCTGGATCCATTCCTCACTTGAGACTGTGTTGGGTCTCTCGGTGCCTCCGTAGATCCACCTTGCGCTGGAAACCCTTGGCACAGAGCTCACAGCTGAAGGGCTTGAAGCCGGTGTGTTTGCGGCTGTGAGTGATGAGGTTGGAGCTCTGGCTGAAGGCTTTGCCACATACTTGGCATTTGTGAGGTTTCTCCCCTGCAGGGCAGAGAAAAGGGTAAGAAACCTTTGACAGATGAGAGAAGGGAGGTAGAAATGCCTTTTAGCAGACTCAGACCTGACTAGCTATGCTTGGGCATGAGAGTGCTGCCAGCCCAGCTGTCCTGCTAATGCATCTGCACTCTGATCCAGCACCAGAGGGTGAGAAGAACCAGAGGCAGTCCTCTCCACCTGTGTGACCCATGCCCTGCCTGCATCCAGGGCTGGGTACAACCATCACATGCACCAAAAGCTGGTCAATAACCACCTCCTTGTCACACAGGAGGACATGCATCTCAGTGATGCTTAGACCTTCTGCTGTCTTACTACACAGGGAATGAGTTTCCAGTGCCTCTGGACACTTATCCCTGGTCCAGTATCTGTGTGTCTGGGGACTATGTTTATCAACATGATGAACTTCAGTTTGCATTTGCCTATTGAAAATATTTTGTTTCTTACCAGTGTGGATGTAAGTGTGTTTCTTCATATCTGACTTCTGGTGGAAGCGCTTGCCACAGTATTGACAGGGATAGGGCCGTGTGTCTGAATGGATCAGTAGATGTGTGGAGAGGGTGGAGGAACGTTTGAATGTCTTCCCACACATCTT